TCAGAAAAGGTGTTTCAGAACACATTTTTTTTTTTTTTTTTTTTTTTTTTTTTTTTTTTTTTTTTACTGATGTCATTGAAAATCCAGTTTCCTGAGTTTGTCTGACTCAATGCTCAAGATGCTGAGACCCGACAACCTCCCCAGGGCCATTGTAGATCTTGCTTCATTCTTTATTCTTTTCTCAGTCTTGAAAATGATTTCTCGCCAACATGGTAAGAAATAGTCTGAGGGTGATCTCGACGTTAGGGAAAGTTGCTTGAATGTTGTTGTTTTTTAGCACGTTATTTCATTTCTTGGTCGCCATGTTGTTGTTTTTTCATGATGTATTTGTTTCAGATATCTCTGAAAGTGCACAAACTCATCCGCAAGGTTGGGGTCCACATCATTCGGGTATTGAGCAGTCAGGTTTTCAACGTTGTCTTGAATTTTCAATGCTTGTATCTAGCTCTTGCAAGAGTGAAAATATCCCTGACACTTCTTTGTATACAGTTGCTCTTTTCATGAGATTGGTTGAGAGAGCGTCAATTGTTGTAATTGTAAAGAAAGATTTTACTTTGAACCTTTCCCTTAAAGGCATGTTGTCTAGTGCGTCGGGAGAAGGACCATCACCCGCATGTGTTATTCTTTTTCTTTTGGGGGGTTTTGTAGTCAACGCCTGGCAATGTTTGCTGAGCATTTTGCTCATTTTGTCAAGTTGTCCCGAGTTGTTGAGACAGCCTTGCTGATAATTTTAAAGATTTGCACAAGTAGGCCTATTCAACGTCACTTCAAGATTCTTCAATGTCTTGCTGACTTTGCGGAAACGTTCAAGCAGAATTGTCCAAAGATGAAGCATGAAGACAAATTCCAATTCTTTCATCTTTTGTCGCAGAATTCCGGCCTGTCGTCTGGTATCGCCCTTCTCATTGGCATCATCTTGAATGCTTTGCAAAGCCTCTATTAGTTGAGGGTAGCTATCCTTAACTGAAGAAGTAGCTTTTGCAAGAGCCTCCCACCTTGTATCAGTTAAATGTTGGACGACTCTTGATTCTGGTCATAAGAAGCGTTTCAGAGTGGCCCACTGTTTTGTTGAAGTAGAGAAGAAACAATATATATACATGTATTGTAATTCGTTTACGATCCCAAAGATATTAACTGCTTCCAAGCACGAATCAACAGCGGCACGTCCTACAAGGTTAAAAGAATGGCCGGCGCAGGGAGGGAATTTAGCAAATTTGTTTTTCTTCAAAATTCTTTGTTGGACTCCATTATACTTGCCAGACTTGTTGGCTGCGTTGTCGTATACCTCTACATTTACTGAAATCGATTCCAATTTCATCAAAATTGTTTAGAATCAGCTCTGCAATACCATTTCCCTTGTGTTTTGAAATTTTAAAAACATGTAAAAACCTCTCGGTAGGAATCCCATCCTCAGGAAATACAAATCTAACGATGAGAGTAAGTTGGTCAACATGTGAAACATCGGGTGTCGAGTCCGCTGATAATACTGAAGTACCCAGCTTGTTTGATATCATTGATAATCGAACTTCTAACTTTTTCGGCCAGACCCTCTGTTGCCATGGTGCTTGATGTGCTCATGTAGAAACGGGTCGAACTTGGCAATAAGCTCACTCTAACAATCCTATGAAGTTTCCATTGTTCGGTGAACCAAAAGTTTCTTCCTCTCCTCTGACTGCCAAACCCCGCCATAAAAGGAGAGAAATCACTGCAATTATTCGATGAAGAAGCACATTTTCCCAGTAATCTTGTTCTGCTCGCATTTGCTCCACAAGTTCCGAAGCGAGCGTGCTGCCACGCTTTATTGTTAGGTATGTTAACATAACATTCCTATGACTTGGTTGATGTGCATGAGTTTTAATAGCTTGGGGGGTGAGACCAATCATCAAATCCAGTTGAAGCCAGACCGGGTTGCGTGAATGTTGCAGGACGTAGGAATAATTTGCACACAAAGCAATATAGTTTCCCTTGTTTTGGAGAGTACACGAGCCATTCTTTTTTTTATATGTTTCTCCGTTCACTTTTGTAGCAGTAAATAGACTCTTTGAGCACAGCCTGGTTTGATTTTTATAGATTCTTTCAGAATTGTAAAAATAGGCCCCTATCACTGTGTTGGCATTTAGACGGACCGTTATCAACCCAAAAAGACAATCCCTGGTCATTTAGTGCAGATGCCCATGTCCCTACATCATCGTTATCTCCATAATCACCCCGGTAATCAGTCTCTGTGTTTGTTTCTCTGGTCTCTGCATCGCTGTTTTTCTCTAAACTTGGTACTTCTGTCTTTTCTCTTTCAGTATTCTCAGCTAAAACATGGCTGCTTGCAGGCAAAAGACGTATACTTCGTCAGGAGAATTCTGACAGGTTGTAGGCTACTTTGTATTTGAGGAGGCAGTGTTTCACTCCCAGACGGTTCGCATAATGCATTACTACTACTGTACTGTGACTTACTGAACAAAACCAGAAGATGATACAAGTATTGGCTTTTAACGTTTTAGTGCGTCTTTTTGTTCTTTTTGTCGTTTACGTTTACTAGCCCCACTTTCAAAACGTTTACTCATTGAACTCATTGTGAGTTTTCAATGGCTCTTGTCTTGCCAGTTTTGATAGAGGCACTGTCACGCTCACTTTTCAACCATATTATGAATCTGGCGCTCATATGACCTTATGCAGTTGCGAGCGCCGTAAAACTTCTACTAAAACAAAACAAAAAATATTATGAATCGACTGCTACTAAAGAAATTCCCCTTTGGCAACTGCTTGGTGTTTATGAGCAACCACCCCAGGAAGTGATTGCACTAGGGCACTTTACTTTAAAGTTAGAGAAATTTGCGTGTGTAGAATTAGCGTATTAGACAGCTACCTATTAGTCAGGGATATTTGCGAGGCATCGTGGTAAAGTCAGGCGCTCGTCACAATACATGTAATGAAATCGAACAAACCGGCACTTTTCCGCTCATGTGCCAATTTTTTAAATCAAACTTGTTATTTTTG